ACACACACACACACACACACACACACACACACACACACACCCAGTAATGGATCCCCTACGAAACAACTTAGTCATAGGCTTCAGTGCCATCGACGCTCACGTTTTGGAAACGTCTCGGGATATATTTTGTCTACATCTTACAGGTACCTGTTTAAAATCCTGATCACAGCCATAGGGTTGTCACGATACTAAAATTTTTAACTCGATACCAATACTCAGGAAAATATTTTTAAAAAAATCGAAAAATCCAGACTGTATATAGCTTTGTTTATGTTGTGTGTGTTTGTTTTAGTTTTTTCCTCCTCTTTTTTACACCTTGTAATTGTCAACAAAGAAAAATAAAGTTAAAAAATCCAGACAGTATATAGTTTTGTTTGTTGTGTGTGTGTGTGTGTTTGTTTTAGTTTTTTCCTCTCCTTTTTTCTTTTTCACACCTTGTAATTGTCAACAAAGAAAAATAAAGTTTATAAATCCGGACAGTATATAGTTTTGTTTATGTTGTGTGTGTTTGTTTTTGTTTTTTCCTCTTCTTTTTTTCACCTTGTAATTGTCAACAAAAAAAAATAAAGTTTAAAAATCCAGACAGAATATAGCTTTGTTTATGTTGTGTGTGTTTGTTTTAGTTTTTTCCTCTTCCTTTTTACACCTTGTAATTGTCAACAAAGAAAAATAAAGTTAAAAAAGAAAGCTGAGGGGTAAATAACTGCTTCATGACTTCTAATTGAACTGGCCGTCATATGAGGGGTCTTTCTGTCACAGGTCCACATTTCGGGTGCCCGAGAGTCTGCCTGTGGCCGCGGGGACGGCCTCCTGGGGGTCAGGGGTCACCGCCCCCCCCCCCTTCTCCATAGATAACTCGGAGGGCTGGCCTGGTCCCGGAGACTGTGAAGTCTCCTAATGATTGCAGCTCTGGACTTTAAACCCGGCCACAGATCAGCGGGAGGGGATTTAATGATAAGCTTTGTAATGGAAAAATGCCTCGTTTTGCCCGTGTGTGCTTGTGTTCGGAATATAAAAAAGAAGGGGAGGTGGAAAGGGGGGGGCTCTTAGTTTTATGAGCTTAGCTTAGAGTCATTCAAACAACTCATGTATGGAGGAAGGGGGGGGCAGAAACCTACTCATCCAGCCTTTGTTTCCATGCTAGAAAGGCCCCCCCAAGTTAGAGCTAACTAGCTTAGCTGGTCAGGCTCAACCCAACCATCCACCATTCTCCATCTACAGTGGGGGAAACAAGTATTTGACCCCTTGCTGATTTTGCAGGTTTGCCCACTTACAAAGAATGCAACGATCTATAACTTTAATCATATGTACATTCTAACAGTGAAAGACAGAATCCCAAAGAAAATTCCAGAAAATCACATCATATGAATTTATAAGAATTGATAACCATCTGATGAGGAAAAATAAGCATTCTTTGTAAGTGG